TATTATTATTATTATTTTCAAATTATTTTGTTAACACAAATTTCAACTTAAATTTTAGTTTTTGGGCTTGAAAATTAACAAATTATCCAATTTCATACAAAAAAAATATTGGGTCTAGAAAAGAAAGATGTTTTGAAGTTGAGCTTGGGTAAATATTAGTTATGAGATTAAAAATATAGCATTGGATATAAATAAATATTAAAATTATATATATTTTAATTTGGCCAGTCCAATTTGGCCCGGTTCGATTTGTTAGGGTATAGAACCGATCCAATTTAGTTTTAACAGGGTTGTGCTGGAGCCCACCCCAGCCACCCCTGGTTCCGCCCTTAGAGTACTTTTGAATATCTTGTTGTCATGGTTGTGGTTATTGCCTACATCAAGCGAATATAATTATACAATTTGTTTGTATCTAATGGAATTTGCAACTTCTTAATTATATAATATAAGGAGACTTATGTTATCATTTGTATACCATATCATGTTTTTGAAATTAAGTAATAGCTACTTGGCAAACATGGGCTTAGCTAAGTTGGCTAGAGTGGATGTGCTCCTCACTCTACACTACACCAAAGTTCGAATCTCCCTCCCCCATAGTTTAGATCAAAATAGAATATCACTTGTATTGAAAAAAAAAGTAAGACCTACTTGACTTCGTTTGAGCACTTGAACCTTGAAGAGGTGATGCAGAGGATGTTGGTGACAATTCAAGGGTGTGGAATGTTCCTAAAAGTGGATTGTATGCACTAGCTGGGATCCCACTACTTGCATTAGCAGGCCCCGTTGAAGGCTTCAAAGAAGGTGTCTGGGCTTATTATGAGAGTCAGAGCCAGTCAAATATATAAGTACATGGAGATTGGAGTAACCTGACATATCTGAATTTGAGGGATTTGGTTAGTCATGATATATTTTCTTTATCACTTTCTAATTTATGCAAAAATTAAAATGAAATCCTGGAAATAATATGTTTTCAGTTTTAACCGACTGATATTTGACTAATGTAAACCAATTTCACTTTGAATGGGCAGCAAGTGCTCAGCAGCCGGGAGAAACGGAGTATTTTCCTCTGTAAATAAATTATGCATGAAACGGTGGTGATGGAAAATAATATGCAAACTGCCCGTTCAAATCCAACCAAACCGTTCTATTATTAGTTCGTCCACGATTTTAGACAGAGCAAAGTCGATTCAATCTGGACTATGCCCACCCTTACTCGATCGTAACAGATATACCCCTGAAAGGCAACATAAAAAATTGCCCAAAGGTACGGGCCCACCTTAGTGGTGAAATGAGATGGAGGCCTCTCTCTCACATTACATGATCTTGAAATTATCACACTAATAGAATGTTGCAATTATCACATTTATAGGATGAAACAAAGTAAATGATCACATGTACATGATGGGACAGAAGTTTATATAAGAGAGAAACACACAATAACAATTGACATCAAATTGTATGTTGAGCGCACTACATTTTTACGATAATTCATAGACTGCGTATTTGAGTTTCTTCATAGTTAAGTGATACCATTTTTCTATATTTTTGTGAAATTAGCATTAAAATTTCATTGTCATATAGCATTAATTAGTTCAATAAAATTTCATATCTCAAAAGAAAAAAATTATGAACAAGAGCATAGGATTTTCCAAGGCTACAAGGAAATCCCAAATTATGTTCTGTTTTCGACTAGAAGATCTTTCATTACATTTCTATAGTAGCCAAGAAAGAGAAAGAAAAAAAAAAGACTAAATGCCTTCTTGATATCAACCTAATAGAGTGGTTTGCTATGTTTATCTAGACTACATAGTTGATGCCATGTTTTTTGTCTTTCCCTTGTTCTTATCACTTCTTGGCACAATTTTCTTCACTTACCCTCTTCTAAGACATTAATCGTATTTCTTACATTGAAATCTATTGTTTTTTTTTTCATTGCTTGTAGATGGGAGATTGCAGGTTTTGCGACTATCAATCTATTAATCAAGATGACTTGAAAAAACATTTGGAATTAATAGACTATCAATCCACATGTTTCTTCAAGTCATCCTGATTAATAGATTGATAGTCGCAAAATAGATTAATAGATTAATAGATTAATAAACATTTGGAATTAATATTGTAACGAAAATGAACTTTATTCTTATTTCGGTTCAAAACATTTAATAAACACGCTAAGGGACTATCAGACTCTGATTCCTTCCTATTATAATTTATCCTTGTTCCAATTCCTTCACAATACTATTGGTTCGATTCCATCGTACTCCAATTCTTTTTGATTCCCATTCTAAGTACATAAACAAGTCCATTCCTTCAGACAAAAAAGAAAAAAGTCATGCCATCGCTCATATACCCTCATAACATTTTACTATATTTAAAAGGATGTGACTATTTGAACTCCTATTTTTTTAAGGAAAAAAAAAATTTCAACGTACCTCCTTTAATAAAGGGTTTGATAAGGGGGGTGGGGTGGGGTGGGGGGGGGGGGATAAAGGGCAAAAAAAAGGATGTAAAGTAAAATAAGTGGCAACAATTTTTAATTTTTAATTTTTAAAAAAGGGTAAAATTGTCAATTAGGCATAATAGTTGCGTGGAATGAAGCAAATTGGCGCGAGAAGTTTGAAACATAATCGTTGCAAAGAAGAGAGGGCAAAAGTGTAAATATATAGACAAACGCGGTTTACTTTAGGTTGGGCAGTGGGCAGTGAGTAGTAGAGACCACCTAGAGACGTGAAAGCTACACAACTGGTTTGCGAGAGAAGTGAAGAAGAGAATGAATTGGAGTTGTGGTACCGAGCTCGTTTGAGCATACTGGAGGTGTGGTGCCGAGTTATCTCTTTCGTTGAGCCCATGAGAACTGATAAACACCATTTCTTTTGCCTGCTGCACTATCTTTTGCATCGGGTCGGCCATGCAAGGTGGCGGGTGACCATGCAGAGTAATTGGCGTTCATCCACGATGGTCAGGTCGGTCATGCAAGGTGGCGAGCGTCCATGCAGAGTGGTCTGTGCTCATCCATGGTGGTCGGATCTGCCATGCAAGGTGGCGGGCGACCATGCAAAGTGGTCGGCGCTCATCCACGGTAGTTGTAATCTGGTTCTTGTATCGACACATAATAACAATATAATATCATAAGATATTATGCTATGACAACCCATTACATATATTAAGTTGAGATATTATACTTATATATTTATGTTTAGATATTATTTTATTGTAAAATCACTAAATGAGAGAAGAGATTTCTTATCTTTTTCGAATGGTCTCAGCACAAATGAGCATGGAATTGAGGAGGTGGAAGGCAAATGGTACTGATCATGCCTAGACAAATGGATGAGGTTGCCAACTGGGTGTTTGCATTTGGAGAGAAGCCCCCAAGTCCAGCAATGGTGGGACCTATCTTGAAAAGTTTTGGCAGAAGAGACACATGGGTGTCTTCTTAGTTGCTTAGCTGGAGCAACATGTTGGGTGTGTTGTGATAGAGAAGGGCATTCTTCATGCGTCACAGGCCTTATTCAGACCAAGAGATGAGGGGCTGCCTCCAATCAGAACAGATTTTCTGGTGGACCTCTTGGTTGCTCAAAATGCTTCACGGTAAGTAACAAAATGGTGAGAACGACATGGATCTTTGCCGTGTTTCCCACCGACGGCGCCAAATGTTAACGGGTGAATTCGTACCTAACGGATTAAGACATAATCATACACATAACACAAATGTTTGAGTGGTTCACCCATAATGGGGCTACAGCCACTATAGCTTATAGCTTTGTATTTGTATTTGAATATGGAGATTAAATTGTACATGAGAGAGATATGGGAGAGAGAGGCTTGAGAGCTCTAGTAGAAGAGAAATAGAAGGCTTGGGAGGGCTTTGGACGGCTCTTGGAGAAGTAAAGAAGTAGCAGCTGATCCCCTTGCTTGGAGGTGGTGAGCTCCCTTTTATAGTCTAAGTTGGAGTAGACAAAGTTGATTGATGGCTGGGTCCTTTTGCATGGCTCCCCTTAATTTAGGGTCTTGAGCATTGAGAAGGCATAGGTGGGGGCATGGCTAGCTACTCCTTGTTTGGTGGAATGTGACATATGACAAACCAGTGTTATCCCTTAATTGGTGGGATTTGCTTAAGGGGGAAGGTGATGTCAACATGATGTCAACACCATCTAAGGAAATATAATTTGGAATTGATCAAAACATTAAAGCACTCTAAAGATGAACAGAACAAAATTATAGCCAAAGCAAAACAACAAAGGAAACAAGTACTGCATACAGATGCAAAAACAAGAAGAATTAGACTTTCAAGTACACTACAATTTCTAGAAAAATTTTGTATGTTATAATCTTGACAGGAACAAAAATGTCATGAAATAAATAATGAGCATAAAGATCTGGAGTTCCTCATTGTACGTACTAGTCGGAGAAAAGCTCCTGGAAAAGCTCAAAGGCATTAACATTAGTGTCGATCGGCTCTGGCTCTCCGGTCTTAACCCTCCTCCACCGGATCTTGTCACTGCCAACGACGTGTCATACGAAGTCACAGACACTTTGCCGTCGCGACCCTGGACTCAAGAGAGAGAAAGAACGGAGTCCCCTAGACTCATGAGATAGATCTGATTTTGGCAAAAGCTCTTTAAAAAGGGTAAAATTGTATTTTATCTATATAATTTAGACAGGCCCAACGAATATGGGCTTCCGTTTTGGCTAAATCCAAAACAAAATTTGATTCACATGTATGAAAACCCAAATTTGATTCACATGTTTGGCTAAACCCAAACAAAATTTGTATTTTATCAGATGCGATTGTCATGGTCAAATTGTGTTCAAGGTTCTGAAAATTTTCCCACGGCATAAAAGGATGTTGAGGCAGATTTTTCAGATAACATTTGTGCATGGACGAGTAATTCTGTGGTGTATCGGCTGTACCGGTACAGCCACCCACATGACAGGCACGTGATGTTTTTTAAAAACAACGGGAACCGGCTGTTTTGGGTAACAGGTTAAATGAAGGAAAAAAAACCACGCGCTCGTTCTTCAACTTGCTCTGAACTGTCGCTCGTCCTACTCCTCTGTGTTGTGGAGCTGGATAGTCTCGACGGCGCAAACCGGTGGCAGAGGACTCTGTGCATGCCCGTGTGTGTGAATTTAAGTAATATTGGAATGAGGGATTGTGTGCTGTTTTGGGGATTCTTCTTTGAGGGTCTCTTGCTTGGTGAGAATTGTACAAACAGGGAAAGGGGAATTGGGTAGACAGAGCCAAACTCTCACCCAGAAGCAGCTCCTCATCACTTTCATGTGGTACAACAAAATTTCAGGCCAAAGCTTGACCATCAACGTTGGGACAAAGACAATACCCCTTCACCATTCAAATTCAACTTCAATTCACATGCATCTGGCTGGGAGATTTTAGTTCCCACGCATCTGGCTTCTCTTGGTTGTTGTTTCTTTGTTTTTTCTCTCTTATTTTTTTAATTTATTTAGAGCAACAAGTTTGGGTTTTGTGAATTTTTCTTCCTTCAATTTTTCCCTTGCCCTTTTTTTAAAATAAAAATTAATATGAGGTTCTTGAATATATTAAATTAGATTTTTTTAATCGTAGCATAAGATTTCATTTTATTGTAAAAAAAATTCATTCATCTTAGTCATCAAAGAAAATAGAGCATTGAGATACCAATTAGAGAAGAAGAAAAAGAAGAAGTAGAAGAAGAAGAAAAGAGAGGTTGTGGTGAGGTTCAATCAGGGGTTTGGGTTTAATGGTGGTGGAGGTGGTGGTGGGAAAGATGACGGAGCTACTGCTAGAGTTCTGGGTAATTTAGCTTTGGCTGTTGGATTGATTTATCTTTCATTTACTGGGCAGCTTGGTTGGATTTTGGATGCAATTGTTTCCATTTGGGTACTCTCTTTCATTTAGCAACTGATTTGGGGTTCTTCTCACAAATCTTAGTTCCTTTACATTTCTGAAAAAAAAACAGGTAGTTTTATGCTATTTTTGTGTCTAATATAATCATTTTTATTTTTGACTCTGACATCAGCATGTAGGATTATATCTCTAATGAAATTGATGCCTTTTCACATTCAGCTCCTTGCAGTGCTTGTAGCAATTGTTGGTGTGGGTGCTTTTCTGTGGTGGGCAAGGCAGGATATGTCAGGTTCAGTTATTTTTTAAAAATTTCTTTTTTAGGTCTTACATGATGTTTAGGCATTTGTGGACGGTTAATTTATCAATCTACAGATCTTCTAGTGGATAGTGTACCGTGTACCGAAACGCTCTATGATTTTTCTTTTATTTGGAGTTGACAATTAAGTAATGTTTGCATTGGTCGCAAGCTCTTGATTTAACTGTATCACAGGTGCTATATAAACAGTTTCCATGGATAGGCATGTAGAAATCTTTTGTGTTATAATCAATTCATTCTTTCCCATGTGAGATGTATCAGATAAATGCATGATATGTATAGGATGTTTGGAAAAGGTTTGAGTACGCAAGTGATACTCTTTCATCTAACAATTCACGAACGCTTCATCCACATCTTGTAATCAAGTAATGTCAGAGTAACATCCT